ATGGTCGCTCTCCGCTCGTATTAATTGACCGTGACATAGGAATAAATGCCGAATATTATTGCGAAAATATTCTGGAGGGTGTATTAAAGCCTTGGGCATGCTAACATTTTGGCCGCAGACCTTGGACATTCCAACAGGACTCAGCACCATCGCACTCAGAACGCGCCACTCAAGAATGGTTAGAAAATGAGGTTCCTCGCTTCATTTCCAGTACACAATGGCCACCAAAATCTCCGGATACCAATCCTTTGGACAATTGTGTCTAGAGTATTTTTCGGAAAGCGAGGTTGGCAATAAAAAATACCAAAGTGTCGATCACCTCAAGCAAGCGCTTCGCCGGGAATGGGCCAAAATACCGCAGAGCAACATTCGGGCAGCGTGTGATGGTTTCATTGGCCGTAATGGTTTCAAGGCCATAATTCGTGCCATGGGTGAGCAAATCGAACAAATCTAAACTTATTCTTAAATTTGATGTTATTTCCGACAATAAAATTAAAAAAAAAAAATTAAAAATTATTTCGTTGGACTTTGTTGCAGGTTTTTTTTATCTCACCATGTATGAGTATTAGTGCTATATCGGGTGCAAAAATTGACAATATCGGTCCACTCCATGTACCTCCACAAAATAGAGCCGAATTTTGAATAATTATAACTCTCAAAAAAGGCGAAATAACTTTCCGATTCTCTTCAAATTCCACACATCCCAACATTTCTTATGCCACAAAATATGGTGGGAAGATGGTGCCACTCCTTCTGGTACCTCCCCCACAAAGGGGTCAACATTTTGAACAACCATGAAGCTCATGAAAATGAAAACGAAATGAACATCCGATTGTTTTCAAACATAGCAAATCTCAATATTTGTATCAACACAAGATCAGGTGTGAAAATGGAATATGTCGGACCACTTCTTCTGGTAACTTTCCCCACAACCGCTTTTTCTTTTTTTTTTTTTTGTAAACACGCATTTTTTTTTTTTTTTGTTTGTCGCGAAACACAAAAAATCAGAAAAAATTGATTAATTTTTTCACTGGGTTTTTAGTGACTTTTTTGTTGTTGGGTTGCACCGATAATATTCTGTGAAGGTGAAGAATAGAGGGAGGTGTGCATACGCTGCAGTTTTGCGCCTTATCTGAATTAATATGAATTTAAAAAATCAAAATACATAGCAACACAATATGGGAACTGCCCTTACTTTAGGAATATAGGAAAAAAAGAAGAAAAAAGAAAAAACTCACACCTTAGCGATAGAAATCATCGCTTTTGATATCGCTTTCTCATCGCAGAAGTTATGTCCTTCGGGAGGGAATGAACCACACCCGCGATATTTTTAAGATTGACTAAATAGTGTTTACAGCCGTATAATCACAGAAGTCACTTCCACGTCTCTGTGGACCAAATCCGTTTCAGAGCATTTGGAATCGATCTAGCGATATCCGTCCGTACGTCTGGGTGGTGCGAACGATAACTTGCGAAGGGAGTATCCGATTTGATCCAAACATGGTACATCGTAGTATTATTGTCAAACTTAGAATGAGTTCGGAGATGGGCAATATCGGTCCACTCCTTATGGTACCTACCCAACAAAAGGTCGAACTTTTCAAAAAATATTTTCATGCACAGTAAGAGAAATGATAATCTGATTTCGTTCCAACTTTGCAAATCCTAATATTTCCATCAGTACAAGGTCAGGTGTGAAAATGGACAATATCGGTCTACTCCATCAAGTACCTCCCTCACAAAGGGTCAACATTTTGAATAATTATAACTCTCATAAAAGGCGAAATAACCTTGCGTTTCTCTTCAAATTTCACACATTCCACATCTTAACCATTTGACTAACGCAAGTTCTGGTGTAAAAATGGTAGATATCGACATACCCCTTCTGGTACCTCCACCACAAAAGCTCAGCGATGCTATTCAAACTTTGTCAACCGGACGTCTCATGTGAATATGGATTTGATCGATATATTCCTTCTTTATGAACAACAATTACTAAACTTGCTTTTTGTTTTTTTCCACTCGGTTTGTAGCAATATTGTTTCTTTTTTGCTGGGTGTGCGTGGTCAGTATTCTGGGAAACGAAAGAAGGGGGGGGGAGGTGCGCTTACGTTGTGTGTTTGTTTACGTTGTGCATTCATTTAGCTGAATTTAAAAATTAAAATACGTAATATATTAATTTTATAATAGAATTGAATGGGAATTCCCCGCATTTTATCCTCCACCATAGTATGAAGGGTATATTAAGTTTGTAAGTATATACAGGGTTGCCCATATTCGACGGACCCATCTGCCAACGCCATAACTTTTGACAAAGATGTCACATCGCTTAATGACATACCGCGTTTGAAGCGTCAGTCCAACAGAAGAATTCAATTGTGAAAACTCAACGTGCTTTAAAAACATTAAAGAATGTGAGAAGTGCGCCTTCTAAGAACACCAATGACGCAAAGAATGTTGCCTGCGGACAAGCCTCGTCGATTGGAATGGGCCCAAAGGTCCGTCGAATCAATTCAAAAAGAGCCCAAAACGTGAATTTTTTAAAGAATTTTTAATAAATTCAATGAAAGCACAAAACGTGGATTTTTTAAAGAATGTTTAATCAATTCAAAGAGAGCCCAAAACATGGATTTTATTAAAGAGGATATAAAAGGTGGTTTTTTTAAGAAATGTTTAATAAATTCAAGGAGTAAATAAATCGTGAATTTTTAAAGAATTTTTAACCAATTCAAAGAGAACCCAAAACGTCGATTTTTAAAGAATTTTAAATAAATTCATAGAATGCCCAAAACGTGGATTTTTTAAAGAATTTTTAATAAATTCATAGAAAGCCCAAAACGTGGATTTTTTAAAGTATTTTTAATAAATTCAAAGAAAGCCCAAAACGTGGATTTTTAAAGAATTTTTAATAAATTCAAAAAAAGCCCAAAACGTGGATTTTTTAAAGAATTTTTAATCAATTCAAATAGAGCCCAAAACGTGGATTTTTAAAGAATTTTTTTAATAAATTCAAAGAAAGCTCAAAACATGGATTTTTTAAAGAATTTTTAATAAATTCAAAGAAAGCCCAAAACGTGGATTTTTAAAGAATTTCTTAATAAATTCAAAGAAAGCTCAAAACATGGATTTTTAAAGAATTTCTTAATAAATTCAAAGAAAGCTCAAAACATGGATTTTTTAAAGAATTTTTAATAAATTCAAAGAAAGCTCAAAACATGGATTTTTTAAAGAATTTTTAATAAATTCAAAGAAAGCCCAAAACGTGGATTTTTAAAGAATTTCTTAATAAATTCAAAGAAAGTTCAAAACATGGATTTTTTAAAGAATGTTTAATCAATTCAAAGAGAGCCCAAAACGTAAGTGGTCCCATACATCTCTATCTTCGCAGGAGATCTTGTGTAAGTGGAAATATTGGGATGGGTGCAATTTGAAGACAATCGTTTGCTAAATTCGCATTTTATGGAATCGTGGGGGGGAGGTATCAGAAGGAGTGGATCGATTCTATCATCTTCACACAAAATCTTGTGTTTTGTAAAAATATTAGGATGTGTGCATTTTGAGACAGTCGAATGTTTTTTTTTTTTTTGCATTTTATGAATATTTTTGTTATTCAAAATGGGGTGGGTACTAGAAGGATATCTTCCATCTTCACTCCAGATCTATTGTTAGTAGATATATTGGGATGTGGGAAATTTGAAGACAATTTGACTTTTTAATATTCATAATTTTAATCGTTGGTGGGGGAGGTACTTGGTGGAGTGAGCCGATTTTGTGGCCTAAAATGCAAATGTTACGATTTGCAAAGTTGGAACAAAATCGGATTATCCTCTCTCTCTTTCTGTGCAGTAAAATATTTTTTTTGCAAATGTTGTTGGGGAGGTATCAGAAGAAGTGCCCTAATATTACCCATTTTCGAACTCGATCTATGTTTGGTAATAATACAACGATGAGTTCGTAATAGGAACTACAGCCTGTGACAGAAAATTGTATGTGCAGGTCCAGGTCTTCGTATAAGCCCCATATATCACTATTTACTATTTTAGGTACAATATTCACCGAAATTGTTTGAAATGTCGTATTTGAAGTTCGTAATGGATACTACAGCCTGTGACAGAAAATTTTCTGTGCAGGTCCAGGTCTTCGTATAAGCCCCATATATCAGTACCTTCGTATATTATGTATTTTGACTATTTTAGGTACAATACTCACTGAAATTGTTTGGAATGTCGTATTTGAAGTTCGTAATGGATACTAAAACCAGTGACAGAAAATTGTCTGTGCAGGTCCAGGTCTTCGTAAAAGCCCCATAAATCAGTACCTCCCTATATTCTGTATTTTTATGATATTAGGTACAATATTCACCGAAATTGTTTGAAATGTCGTATTTGAAGTTCGTAATGGATACTACAGCCTGTGACAGAAAATTTTCTGTGCAGGTCCACGTTTTAGTATAGGCCCATATAATGGTACCACCCTATATGCGGTATTTTGATAATGTAACCTATATTATTCACCGAATTTTTTTCCAAGTCTCGAATTTGGTTTTTGTGATGGCTTATGACAAAAGTTGCCTATGAAGGTCCACGTCGTCCTACAGACCCTAATATAATAGCTACATTCGGTATTTTTAAGATGTTAACATAATTTTTAATGGATTGAATTTTTTTTTTTTTTTTTTTTTTTTTTTTGAAATTTGCCAAATTTGTTGCAAATGATGGAGGGTATTCAAAGATTGGCCCGTCCGAACTTATAGCGTTTTTACTTGTTTTATTTCAATTAGACGGTCTAAACTGTAACTGCATTATTTTTCACTTGTCCATATCTGCCTATTTTTAGATAAGTTTTTGCGCAATATTTTGAAAACATTGTGTCGAATATGAAATACCGTCAAATCCAAATTAAATACAGACAAGCAACGAGAGGTGTTATCTTCATGTCGAAAAAAAATTAATGACGCAACTACCAGTAATGTATTTCATCATTTTCCTGTATTTTTTTTTTTTGTGTTGCACAGTGTTATTTAACTAAACAAATTAGTATTTATTTTTTTATTATTCGTTTATGATAAAAATTTGCAACTAAATCTCTTCTATTAAGATTTTTCCCATGCCCGATGCTCTTACATTTCCCGGTACTACAAAATTTGAAAACTCTGTATCATCAACTTCCTTTGGCTTTTCTTTCGTTTCAATCTCCTTTTTATCCTCATCCTTTGCTCTTGTTTGCGCCTTTATTTGTAATTTGCCAAAATTTTCGGCTGCTTTCAATATTTTATTTTTAACCAAACGATTGGGTTTAACCAGATCTGCTAAATCGTAATTTTTCAGTTCACTCTGCTCGGGGGTGGATTTTTTCGAAACGGTATTAGTTTTCTTTTGAATTTCCGTCTTTAAGGAACTTGAATTGGTTTTGGGTGTTGCTGCCTTTGAAGAATCCTCATCGATAATTTGCATTCGTCTAGAGAGTGGTGGTGGCAAATCTTCAAACATTTTTCGCAGCTCTGTTATGGCTTTGAGGGCTATCGAGTTCTGGGGATCCACTTCCAGGACATTGATGTACAGTTGATAGGACTACAAAAAAAAAAAAAAAAAAAAAAAAAAAAACGAGATTTTTTTAACATCAAAATCACTCGAAATCTGTGTTATGTAACATAATCTACCTCCCTCCGCCTGCCATGGCCATAACTTGCCTCCGCTAAACGTAAACGGGCTTTAAGATTCTTTGGATCCAACGCTAAACATGCCTCACAATCCTTGATGGCCTCCAAAAATCGCTGTTGTTTTATATCTAAAACAGAGAGTAATTCACAAATATTATAATCCTTTTTCATATGTAATTCGAAACATTTTATTTGTAATTCGTAATAATTACTTTTTAATTCGAGAATTCCATTTTGTAATTCGTAAAATTTCAATTGAAATTCGAAAATTCCCTTTTAATTTTAATTGGAGAATTTAATTTGTGATTCGTAAAATTCCATTTAAAATTTGAAATATTTCACTTATAATTCGAATCATTTTATTTCGAAAAGCAAATATGAAGCCTATGCAAAATTTTTGAATTACAAATTATATAATTTGAGTTTCAATTGAAATAATTCGATTTTAAAATTCAAAAATTCGAATTAAAAATTAAATAATTCGAATTACAAGTGAAATATTTCGAATTATTGTTTCGATTAACAAATTAAATTTTCGAATTACATTTAAAATGTTTTGAATAACAAATGGAAATCTCGAATTAAATTTGAAAGATTACTAAATAAAAAATTAATTCTCGAATTGCATCTGAAAAATGTGTAATAAAATAGGAAAAACTATCTACTCACAGGTTACAGCTCGATTGTTGTAGGGACCGACTGCCTTCTCCGGATATACCTGTATGGCTTTAGTATACTCGGCCAATGCAAATTCATATTCCTTGGCACGAAAATACTCATTGCCACGCAAACGAAAGCTGCGGACGAAGAAAAGAATAATACATAAGTCCATTGTAAGTTAGGGTGTGATCTTCAAATTATCTAGATTTAAGCAAAAACCGTAAGTTCAGCCGGGCCGAACTTTGAATACCCTCCACCATTTGGAATGCATTTGGCAATTTGCAAAAAAAGGAAATCCGTTAAAAATTCTGTTAAAATCTTAAAACTACCGAAAGTAGCCGTTATATTAGGGTCTATACGACGATGTGGACCTGCATAGGCTATTTTTGTCGTAAGCCATTACAAAATTCAAATTCGAAACTTGAAAAAATTCAGTGAACAATGATACATACATACAAACATACACAATACCGAATATAGGAGGTACCATTATATGGGGGCTATACCAAAACGTGGACCTGCACAGAAAATCATAGGCTGTAGGGTTCATTATGAACATTATATACCAAATTTGAAACAATTCCAGGTGAATAATGTCGTTTAAATCACTAAAATACGAATATCGTACCGAGGTACCATTATATAGGGCCTATACGAATACGTGGCCCTGCACAGACAATTTTCTGTCATAGGCTGTAGTATTCATTACAAACTTTAAATACCAAATTTGAAACAATATGAAAACGTGGACCTACATAGCCCATTCACAAACTTAAATTTTAGTGTTCTATCTCAATTCGTTCGAAAGGTAGCGTGATTACAAAATATAGACAGACAGATGGACTTTGCTAAGTCGTCTTAGAATCTTACGCTAATAAAAATATATACTTTGTTGGGCCTTACATGAGTATTTCGATTAATTACAAACGGAAAGACAAAGTTAATATACCATCCATAATATGATGAGGGGTATAAAAATATATTGTATATATTCAAAATGTTTGCAACGTTGGAGCAAATCGGATTATTCTTTATTTTTTGGTGCTGCAAATTATTTTTATTTTTTTTTTTTTGAAAATTTCGATTTTTTTTTGGGGGGGGGGGGTGGTACCAGAAGAAGTGGACCTATATTGCGCATCTCAAACACAATCTAAGTGTGATAATAATAGTACGATTTACCAAGTTTGGAGCAAATCGGATACTCCCTTCGAGAGTTATCGTGCGCACAAGCCAGACGGACGGACGAACATCGCTAGATCGACCCCAAATGTCCTGAAACGGATTTGGTCCAAATAGACCTAGGGCCTAAAAAAGGGTTATTTGGGCACGATCGGGCACGTATCAAATGATATATATACTCTCTAGCCATATATAAAACAAGTAAAAAAGCTGTAAGTTCGGCCAGGCCGAACTTTGAATACCCTCCACCATTTGGTACGAATTTAACAATTTCAAAAAAAAAATAATAATAAATAAAAGGATTTTAAAATTCTGTTAAAATCATGTAGCCGTATATTAGAGTCTATATGGCGACGTGGACCTGCATAGACAACTTTTGTCACAAGGCAACTTATATCACAATATTCAAATGCGAAACTTTAAAAAAAATCTGTTTATAATGTAGCTAAAATCGTCGAATATAGGGAGGTACCATGGTGGTTATAAAACGTGCACCTGCACAGAAAATTTTTTGTTATAGGCTGTTATATCGAACTTCACGAACTTCAAATGCGAAATTTGAAACAATTCCGATAAAATCATCAAAATACCGAATATCGGGGAGTACCGTTATATGGGGGCTATACGAAGACGTGGACCTGCACAGACAATTTTCTGTCATAGGCTGTAGTATTCATAACGAACTTCAAATGCGAAATTTGAAACAATTCCGGTAAATAGGTTCGCTAAAATCATGAAAATACCGAAGATCGGGGGTACCGTTATATGGGGGCTATACTAAGACGTAGATCTACATGGCTTATTTTCTGTCTTAGGATGTAGTATCCAATACGAACTTCAAATACCAAAATTGAAGTAATTCCGGTAAATAATGTGGCTAAAATGATCAAAATACCGTTACATGGGGGCTATACGAAGACGTGGACCTACATTGCCCATTTTCTGTTTTATGCTGTAGTATCTATTAAAAACTTTAAATACCAAATTTGAAACAATTCCGGTAAATAATGTGGCTAAAATCATCAAAATACCGAGTATCGGGAGGTACAGTTATATGGGAGCTATCCGAAGACGTGGACCTATATGGCCCATTTTCAATACCAAAAGTCCTGCAGACATAGTACACATTTGCGTAAAATTTTATCAACCTACTTCATTTCGTTCGGAAGCTAGAGTGATTTCCACAGACGGACAGACGGACGGACATTGATAAATCGACATAGAATTTTATGCTGATCAAGAATATATATACTTTGTGGGGTCTAAAATGTATATTTCGAGGTGTTACAAACGGAATGACAAACTTAATATACCCTCCATACTATGGTGGAGGATATAAAAATCGTTAAAAAAATACTGTTTACACGAAAACCATTATAGGCGGGCTATACGAAGGCGAAGACCTGCATAGACCGCAGTATCCATAAGGACATTCAAATTGGAAATTTAACACAATTCCGTTTAATAATGTCGCTAATACCATAAAAATACCGAATAATGGGAGGTACCGTTCTATGTGGGGACTACAAAGACATAGACCTGCATAGACAAGATGTTATAGGTTGAAGTAACCATATGTACCAAAATACACATATATGCAAAATTGTAGCCTTCTATCTCAATTCGTTCGAAACTTAGCGCAATTATAACAGACGACTGACATTGATAAATCGAATTAGATTTTTAAGCGGATCAAAAATATATATACTTTGTTGGGTCTGACATGCGTATTTCAAGGAGTTACAAACGGAATGACAATGTTAATATACCCTCCATACTATAGTGGAGGGTATGAAAAGGTATATTAAGGACCAGTGGAAAGTCCCAAAATGACGAAAAGACCTTCTGAAGGCTTCTGACCTATAGAAGTTCTCACAATGGCCTCCCATCCTTTAAAAACCCCTCGAATTAAAGGTGAATTAAGAGGATGAAAATAATTACACATCGTCTCTCATGAGACATCAATGAAAAATTATCATAGGTCATTTATTTATTGAAGCAGAGTAAGATGTCTCCAATCTCAAGAGGTCTCCAATATCAAAGGTCTTCTATTTACGTTTTCTGTCCATTAAAATCGACCCAAGGTTCTTTTATATCTACAATGCCTCAAATCCATAGAATACGGCGTGAAAATGTGCAATATAGAAGGTATCATATCCCCATAAGACCCGGTAAAGCTCATGAATCCGAGGGTCTTCTATTCATAAAATATCTCTCGAAGGTCTTTTCTCACTCGAGGGAATTTTTTTTTAATGAAAACATCTTTTAAGGTAAAACCATAAACTACCTTTTCAAAATAATTAAAGACCACACATATTGAAGTTTTAAATAAGGAGAATTCTCCAAATTGATATGAATTTCGCTGAAAGCTAAGGTAGAATCTTGAAATATTAGGTTTTTGAAAATTCCAACTAAAAAACTACAATAGTGGTACAGATAATATTGTGCGATTCTGGGATTTTAGAGATCTGCATTTTTGTACGCAGGTTTGTCTATGATAAATATTTTCAAAAAAACGTTTTTCGAAATTCATAGTATAAGGGTACGAAAAGTACTAAAAGTTACTAATGTACTTTTTTGTTAGGGGTGAAATTTTATATGGAAATCAAAGTTGGGAAGCATGGCTGATATCAAGAGTTGGTCTTCGAAATCTGTTTGTATGTATACTAATCGCACCAAATGGTACCAAAATTTGTATATTGTGTATGAAAAGAACTTAAATTGTGCATCTTGGTGATAAATTTTAAATTAGTTGGTGTATTTCGATTTTGTGTACGCAATGGTACAAAAATTGTCATAGATAGTAGGAATGTTATATTCCTTATTATTATGAATTTCAGAATTAAGTTCACTGTTAGTGTATGGCTTTTAGATGATTTAGAAAGTGTACGAAAAGTACTAAATGATTGATAAAGTTGGTATAGAGTGTAGGACATTTAAAACAGACAAATCTTACTCTTCCGACAGTTTTTCCCTTTCAATATCACTAAGGGCATGAATTGAGCCCTTTCCATTTGCCTCCGCCTCTTCGAGAATCTCTTCGATCTTGGGATAGCTGGCTTTAATTTTTTCCAAATTTAAACGATTTTTTCTCTCAGTTTCTTCTTGGATACGTTCTTCGGCCAAGTCGAGGCGTAATATTTCTTCCTCAGCATCGTATTTATCCCATTTGCTGTAATCGGTTGATTTGATACGCTCTACTTTGGCATCAGCAGCATTAGTTTCATTTTTGTTGGTCTTTGAGTCTTCGGGTTTCTTTAAGGATATATGAGCATTTTGTCGTACGGGCGGCAAATCAAGTTCCGCACCCTTTTCTTTACTCAATTTTTGCAATGTTTTATCCTTGGTTTTGATTTCATGATTCCAATCCTAAAAGAAAAAATATTCAATGTCATGTTTTTTTTTTTGGTTTGTAAATAATATCATAAAATCCCATCTCACATAAATCGGCTTCCATTCTTGTTCGCCTAAGGCTTCTCGTCCCCGAATGTGTTCCTCCACCCGAAATAGACGACTATGCGGCTTTAGTTCATGTAACTTCTCTTCAGCACATTTGGTAAGATCTGGGTAATATCCCTCCTCGCCGGATCTGAGGATGTGTACAATTCTCTCAATTTCTCGTTCGTCCTTACACTCGGCAATATATTGAAAATCCAAATGTTGTACGGGTATGCCATAGCGTTCCATCAAAGTTCGCTTAGGTTGAGACATATTTTAGTAAATTTGGATTTTAATGGAGAGTTTGTTGTTATGTTTTATAACTTGTTTTCAATTCGAGTGTCAGTTTTTTTTTTAAAAAAATATAAACACTTCACAAACAAACAAATATTGTCTTGGTTACCGTAGCAAGGTTTCGTCGGGTTTAAGGGTTGCCATGTGAAAAATTTGGGGCCAAAATTGAAATAAGTGTATTAAGATCAAACGGTCTTCTTAGTAACGACCAAAATATCATCTAATAGAAGCCCAAGGGATGGAAGACCAGAAGGTCGAAAACGAGAAAACGGCCTTTCCCTCGAAGACGTGATGCGGAGAAGTTCTTCTCATGGTGGTGTCCGCTATTATACGGGAAAGTTTTGCAGAAGGGGCCAACTTTATGATACCCTACACCACTTTGCTAATTTAGTAGAGCTCCGCATAACAATTAAAAGTATTTATGGGAGAATTCAATCATGCACGCAATGATTATAATTATAATTTAAAGTTCAAAGGACTAAATATGCCGAAGCATTTGTATCTTTTAAATTCGGACTTGTATTGCCCATTTGGTGCACAATTAATTTGAAATCGGATAAAAAAAAAGTATGGGAGCTATATCCAAATCCGAACCGATTTCGATAAAATTTGGCAAAGATATTTCTGAGCTGTGTTCGATATTTTTCTGTGAATATCGTTGTTACGGAGTGCATATTACGGCTGTGGGTAACAAATATAACAAATCGGATGAACAGTATGTATGGAAGCTATAGCTATATCTGAACCGAAATTTGACATACTGGCTTCTAGACTCAATTCGGTCGTAAGTGCCAAATTTCATCCAATTTGGCCAAATATTAGACGTTTGGTGCACAATCAAAGGTAAATCGGACGAAGTTATATATGGGAGCTATACCCAAATTTGAACCGATCGTGATAAAATTTAGCAAATGCATTTCTGAGCTGTATTTGATATATTTTCCCAAATATTGTTGTTACAGAGTGCATATTACGGCTGTGGAGGACAAAAATAACAAATCGGATGTACAATATATATATGGGAGCTATAGCTATATCTGAACCGATTTCGATCATATTTGGCATACCTATTTTCAGGTCCAATCTGATTGTATGTGCAAAATTTCATACTATTCGGACTGATATTACACGTTTGGTGCACAATAAAAAGCAAATCGGACGAAGATATATATGCAAGCTATATCTAAATTTTGACCGATTATCTCCAAATTCAATAGGGTTCGTCCTTGGGCCAAACAAATGATTTGTGCAAACTTTCATCTGGATAGGGCAATAAATGCGAACTGTACTTTGTTTACAAAAATACATGGACAGACGGACGGACGGACGGACATGCATAAATCGACTCAGAATGTGATTCTATGCAGATCATCAAAAGGAACTGGGATTTCCAAATTTGGGCACGACACGAACGTGAACAATGGGTCTATCTCGTTTCCTTTTGCCTGTTACAAACAAATGCACAAAGACATAATACCCTGACCACCTTGTGGTGTAGGGTATAAAAAATCAAGTTCTGAAATTTGAAAATAGTTTCAGGTTTTTCTAGGAAATATTAAGAATTTTTGGATCTTTAAAAAAATCTGAAAATCTAAATTTGTCTCTGAGTTTCCCATGTTTATACCCTACACAACATAGTGGTAAGGGTATCATGTATTTTTGCATTTGTTTGTAATGTGGAAAAGGAAGCGAGATAGACTTATAGTTACTTTTGAGGATCTTCATAGAATAACTTCTTGAGTCGATTTATGCATGTCAGTCCGTCCGTCCGTTTGTCCATGTATTTTTGTGAACAAAATGCAGCTCACATTTATTATGCGACTGAGATGAAACTTTCCCAACAATATTTGTTTGTCCCAAGCACGAAACCTATTAAAATTAGTGAGAATCGGTTCAGATTTTGATATAGCTTCCACATATATCTTCAACCGATTTCGGTATAATTGTGCACCAAATAGCCAATATCAATCCAAATGATATGAGCTTTGACACATCCGACCGAATTTAGTCTAGAAGTAAGTACATCAAATTTTGTGAAAATCGGTTGAGATACAGCTATAGCTCCCATATATATGCTTCATCCGATTTGGGGTTTTAAGTCCCTCATATGCGTAATAAGACAGAAATAAGTGCCTACAATTTTGTCAAGATCGATTCAGATTTGGATATAGCTCTCATATAAATCTTTATCCGATTTCATGTTTATTGTGTACCAAATGGCTAAAATCAGCTCAAGTATACTGAATTTTGGCACTTTCGACGGAATTCAGTCTAGAAGCAAGTACATCAAATTTGGTGATAATCGGTGAAGATATAGCTATAGCTCCCATATAAATGTTACATCTGATTTAGTGTTAAAGTCCCCCGGGCATCAAATTCTGCTCGAAGATATCTCTGCCAAATGTTATCGAGATCGGTTTAGATTTTTATATGGTTTCGATATACATCTTCATCCGATTTTACGGTTATTGTTGGCTATCGTTAGAGCACTCCAGCATTTAAATGTGAATAAAACTTTTGTGTCTCGCAGCATCGTTCGTTACCGTGATACTGGTAGCGTAGCCCGACGTCAAGGAAGTGGACGGAAGAAAACAGCAACATCAGCCGAAATAGTTTGAAAAGTAAAGAAGCGACTTAATCGAAACCTGCGTCGCAGTGGGCGAAAAATGGCTCGTGAGCTGAACATATCGCAATATGCCATTCGACAAATATTGAAAAATGAGCTCGAGGTAAAGCCATGGAAATTCCAAAAAGTGCAAGAACTTACACCGCAACAGAAAGAAATTAGACTCAAAAGAGCTAAGATTTGCTTCGATTGGCCAAAAGTGGTGAGCCGATGAGAAAACATTCGTTGTCCAGCAGTTAGTTGCAGTTTGTTGTAAAAAAAATGATCGTATTTACTTGCCAAAGAGGTCAGCTGAAAATGTGCACCTTCGGTTGGCCACCAGAACTCAAGTGCCGGCCATGGTGATGGTGTGGGCCGTCATAACAAACGATGGTCGCTCCCCGCTCGTATTAATCGACCGTGGCATCAGAATAAATGTCGAAAATATTCTGGAGGGTGTATTAAGGGCTTGGGCACCCAAACATTTTGGCCGCAGACCTTTGACATTCCAACAGGACTCAGCACCATCGCACTCAGCACGCGCCACCCAAGAATGGTTACAAAATGAGGTTCCTCGCTTCATTTCCAGCGCACAATGGCCACCAAAATCTCCGGATACCAATACGATGGACTATTGTGTCTGGAGTATTTTGGAAAGCAAGGTTGGCACTAAAAAATACCAAAGTGTCGATCACCTCAAACAAGCGCTTCGCCGGGAATGGGTCAAAATACCGCAGAGCAACATTCGGGCAGCGTGTGACGGTTTCATTGGCCGCTTGAAACCCATAATACGTGCCAAAGGTGACCAATTCGAATAAATCTAAACTTATTCTAAAATTTGATGCTATTTCCGACATTTTTTGCCTTCATCCAATAAAATTAAAAAAAAAATGTAAAAATTATGCCGTTTGACTTTGATGCAGGTTTTTTTTATCTCACTCTGTATATAATATAATATTTTAGATATCGAAGGAAATGGCCATACAAATGTTGTAGCTATTTTGCAACCGAATTCAGAATTGGAAACTTGAGTAGGGATTCGGACTGAATTTGGAAGAAAATATCAACTTTTTTTCAAGTTTGTGCAGAAACTTGGTACAGAGAGCAGGAAAATGTTCGACGATTTAAAAATTTGAACCATCGTTCCAATTTCTAAGAAAAATTATAAAAAAACAAATTGTCAACTTGTTTGAAAGTTCATTACGAATCCTCAACAAGTAAAAAAGCTGTAAGTTTAGTTAATATCCTCCACCATTTGGTACAAATTTGACAATTTCCAAAAAATAAATAAAATCCGTGAAAAATTCTGTTAAAATCTTAAAAATACCGAATGCCTATACGACGACGTGGACCTGCATAGGCAACTTTTGTCATAAGTTATTACAATATTTAAATGCGAAACTTGAAGAAAAATCTGTTCATGATGTAGCTAAAATCATAAAAATACCGAATATAGGGGGTACCATTATATGGGGGCTATACGAAGACGTGGACCTGCACAGATAATTTTCTGGCATGGGCTGAACTATCCATTACGAACTTCACATGCGAAATTTGAAACAATCCCGGTAAATAATGTTGCTAAAATAATGAAAATACCGAATATCGGGGGGTATGGTATATGGGGGCTATACGAAGACGTGGACCTACATGGCCCATTTTCTGATTTATGCTGCAGTATCTATTACGAACTTTAACGATTCCGTTAAATAATGTCGCTAAAATCATTAAAATACCGAATATCGGAGGGTACCGTTATATGGGGGCTATGTGAAGACGTGGACCTACATGACCCATTTACGAACATATCCTGACTACTGGCAAAATATACATGCATGCAAAATTTTAGCCGTCTATCTCAATTTGTTCGAAAGATAGCGTGATTACAACAGACAGACAAACGCACAGACGGACATGGCTAAATCGTCTTAGAATTTTTCGCTGATCAAGAATATATATACTTTGTTGGGTCTGACATGAGTATTTCGAGGAGTTACAAACGGAATGATGGTGTAGAGTATAACAAACGATTTCAGAGCATTCGGCAAAAATTGCTAGTTGAGTGACCACTGTCCACACATAGCTGTATTTGTTTCACGATCGTCACATAGGGTGTTCATTTTTAGTTGTGTGTGTTTTATTCCATCCACCCGTGACCAACAAGGTTCTATGGTGTAATGGTTAGCACTCTGGACTTTGAATCCAGCGATCCGAGTTCAAATCTCGGTAGAACCTAAAATAACTTTTTTTCTAGTAATTTGACCGTTATTATGTGTATTAGAACCAGTAAAATTTCCCACTAAAAATTTCTCACCAAAAAAAAGGAATTAAAAAAAAAGAAAAAAAAACTTAAATAAAATATCCACTTTTTCGGCCAAGAAGGTTTTTTGAATACATTGAGCGCAAACTTCAATTGTTACAGTAAAAACCGAATA